AAGTTGCACTGGGATAGCACTGCAGGGACAACGAGGCTGAAGGGACTGCATGGAATATCAGTGCATCAGTTACTAATCTGCTCTGGATGGATGGACTCAGGAGTTATCTTAGTGACTAACCACTGGAAAATCCTGGGATATGGGAGCTCATGCATTTTTTTGTAGCCACAGCTGCAGTCATTTCCCCTCAGAGACACATCATTTCCCCAGGACACATCCTGTCTCCGAGGGCCACGGTGTCTCTGCTGCGAGCTCTGTCCCTGTCGCAGGAGCCGGAGCACGGGTGGGGATTTCCTTCCTCGTTTCTTCTCCTGAAAAGCTTCATCTCCAGCTTGAGGAATGGATTGAATCTTGACCTCTTGCGTAAACATTGCCTCTGCATGCCAAAGGGAGCCTCAGTGAGGACCAGAGCCCCTGTCTAGACGCGTTTCTTCATCCCAGGGCTCCGAGAGGTGCGTCCTCCACGGCGGGTTTAACTCTCCTGGCCTCGGAGCAGCCACGGGGACGGAGTAAAGCCAGACTGTTTACACATGTGCACCTTAATGCACTTTGTTCTGCTCACCAGCAACGCAGACAATGCTCCAGTCTGACAATTTTCATAACCTGCGAAGGAAAAAAAAAGGAATTTTGTACAAAGGGGAACTTTCTGTTCCCAGTTTTTATTCCTGAAATGCAGGAGCACTTCATACGTGACTGCAGCGGGGCTGGATCCCTCGGGACAGGGAGGGCAGCAGGAAAGGCACCCCCACAGAGGACAGGATTCCATCCAGGAACAGGACCAAAATGGGATGGATCTGCAATGAGTTTAGGAAGGACTTTAGCTGTGGTGAGAGGTCATGATTGGCTGGGAGAAGGCTTAGAATGAAAAGCTGTGCCAGAGAGACAGATGGGAGAACAATGCCCACTGCAAGCAAAGGTGTGGATGGAGCAGGAATGCCTGGAAAGGGAGTGAGCCAGTCAGGCAAATCAGGAGAGAGGTAGGGAACTCTGGTGGTAAAAATGTTCATCGTTCTTCACAATGCTCTAAAGAATTTCTAGATTGGTTTTGCCACATGAACAAAGCTTTACAAAAAATATGGTAAGAAAGGACTTCTGTGGATATTTCAAATGTATTTCTTTTTTAATGAAATGGAACCTGCTAAATATATAAATCTTCATGGGGTATTCTGCTGCAACACTCCTCAGAACTACACCATTAGGTGGCAAAATAGGCATTTAGCTTTAACAGATGCACATACAATGGAAAGACATCGTAGAGAAAAAGGAAATGGAGGTGTAATTCTCTTCTGATCAATTCATCTTTAACTCCATGATCTCTAGGGGGTGGTGTCTATATAATTTCAACCATGACAGGCTCTGGGAAATTAAGTAAATGAAGACAAGTAGAACGAAATATAATCCAGATAATTTTAAATATCTTTATTTTTAAAAACTGCCTCCAGAAAATAGTTTTAATCTTTCAATTTACTCACAGAAGCTCAATAATAGGGGCAGAACTGCCTTGCTTTCTTGATAACATTACAGAAGCTGGGGAAGAATGTGACATAACACCAGCCAGCTCTCGTTACTGCTGGAGGAATGTGCTGTGATTAAACCCCTATACAGAAAGAAATGGAATGTAATCCTTAAATGTTGACTTGCTTTGAACACATACCACATGCTGAGCAATGAGTTTGCAGTATATTCCTCAGTTTCTAAAGATGGGGAGGACCTCACCTCCAAAAAAATTAATTACTCCAAAAAATTTCTCTTCTGGAAATGAACGCTACCTGGTTAAAGGTGTTTATTCACATTTCCCAGTGTCCAAACCCACCAAACCCTTTGAGAACCATCTGTGAGTGCAAAACCTTCTCTTTCTTCCTCTTGGGAAATCCAAGAAATCAAAGCCCCTTGATTTTTGGGCAGCCACAGAACAGAAGAAATTGTTGTATTTCCAAACACTTCTTCAGAAGTTTCACTCATGGGACACCAACCATCATCTTATTTTGTCCTCGTGGGCTCCTCAATAGTTTTGGTGTCCTAAAGATGCCCGAACTTGCCCGTTCTCTGTGTTTGCTCCAATCCTTTGGATGGAGCCTCAGCTGTGACCTCCTGGCTGAGGGAGGCTGGCTGGAATTCCCTGCCGAGCCCGGCAGCGAGGCTGTCATCCAGCAGTGAGCTGTGGGCTGATGCAAGGCACTGCCATCCCTCTGCGTCCCAGCTGGCTCCCTCAGCCTGGAAGGATTTGTTGTTCGGTGATATCAGCCCGGAGTGAGACATGGAGCTCTCGTCAGCAGCTCAGGGTGGTATCTGCTTGTCCCTCTCACAGGAGGAAACCTCCTCTCACCCCTGGAATGGAACTGCCCAAACACAAAATTCACCGCAAGCTCTCGGCCTCTAAAACCTAAAGCAGGGTCAGCAACATCAATTTAAGAATATTTTGAGAAGCTGGGGGACAGCACCGGCACGAGAACCTGCGGATCACGACGTTCCTGTGGAATTCCCCTGTTGGGAAGGGAGCACTTTGAACCATTAGGTGTGTCAGCATCTTTGGATCCCCCACGTTCACTGCAGTTGCTGGTGCTTTGAGAGGCTTCCTGAGCTCTGCTGGCTGCAGATCTTGCACTGACTCCCTCATGGAGCATCTTGGGTGTAGCAGCAAAAACACTCCAGTCATGTTGGCTGTTTAAAAATAAATAAATAAACCCCAATACCCTATTAAAAAATAAAGCCCAGCAGTAGCAGCAATCTTGCAGGCAGCACGTTTTGTACAGTGACCCAAATGCAGGGGCTGTCAGTGAATGCTCTCACACTTGCAATACATCACAGTGTTTGCACTCCAAGGTGAGCAGCGTGTCCCAAAATCTCAGCAAAACTGATAGTTCTCTGAAAAGCAGCATGAAACTAAGTGTGCTTCATGACCTCTAAAAACCCCTTTTAATGAAAGCATTAAATGTTCATAAAACTACTGAACAATGGAATACTGTATTTAATCCAAAAGGGTTTTTTTTAATAATATTGGCATTGCAATTAATGTCTGACACACTAGTTATCCATTAGAAAGAGATCATTAGCAAGAGTTCTATGTTTAACATAACACTAAATACTTCTGTCAAATTATATCAGAATTATTGAATGCTGGGTCCAGAGAGCACTATGAGACCTCAGAAATGAATAATCATCACATGTTAGGAAGAATCTAGAATAACCTAGAAATATGTGAAGCATGTGAAAAGTAGCTTTATATTTTGTTTTTCTGTTCAGTTCAGCAGTGGCCAGGTAATGTTGCAATATTTGCAAACCATCAGCCATTTGCTTTATATACTTGGTTTGAGAAGAAGGATAACGACCTGGCTATGTGAATTTGTAACAGATTGGAATTTAATAGTATGACCTTCAATTACAAAGGCTGATTTTTCTTCTGTTTCTTTTTTTCAGTGCAGAAATCAGGACACCTGGAATGCCTTTGAGGTGTGTGTGAATTTACATAACCATGACAAAGTAACTTTTTAACTGTTTCAGTGCAACATAAAGGCATAAAAGCAGTAGATATATTGTGCCTGTGTTTTGTAGGAAATGAAGTGTCCAACACATGCTGGTTTTGTGTTGAATGGGTGATGGCAAAGGCAACAAACACAGCCCTGAGTGAAGAAGGGATCCCAGGTCCTGGTCCCAGGACTCTTTTGCTTCCCAGACACTGGCACCACAGCAGGAAGCTTTGGAAACTTCCACCTGGAAGCACCTGGCACTTCTGGGGGAAAGAGATGTGAATCCACCTGTACCCACTGTGGGGAGGTGTCCCATTGTATGGAAGGAAAGCTTCAAGAACCACATCCCACTTCCAAGGCCTTCAGTGGGGAAAAAACCAGTTCCTCACTCCAGGTTTGAGTGAACAGGGCCCAGCTCTGAGCTCTGTCAGGGTGGGATAACCCCCACAGCTCAGCTCTGTGTCACTCAGGAAACCTCCTGGGCTGTGTGGAAGCCACACCACGAGGTGTGTGAAGCACAGGTCATCTTCTCATCCCACCTCTGGATCCTGCTCCACGGGCTGGATCCCAATCTCTGCCTGCCCATGTGATGATACTTTAGAGGTGACCTCAGCAGGAAGGTGCCAGAGCAGTGACACGTCTGAAGGAGCACAGATATTAGTGGGGTTGTTAGTGAGGAAAGGTGTGAGGTGTGTTAGCTCAAATTCCTAAGGGAACCTTTAATGTGCCAACCTTCCCAGCTTTTCCAGGAGCTTTTCCCACCCTCGAGGCCCCTCTGGCCCTGCAGAAAGCTGTCCATGACTGCTGCAGCTGGAGCTCCCCTCATGGGAAGTGTGTTGCAGTGCTGGGAAAACTCTGGAAAGAGTCACCTTTCCTGCAGGGTGGGAGTTAAATTAGGGCACATGGATACAAGGCATTTTTGTACTTTTTGTTAGTATTCTGAGAACGGCAGTTCACAGAACCGGGCTGCTGATTTCTACACAGTGCAGATAAGGACTAAATTGGTCCAAAGTTTAACAATTTCCTGGGCTGGTCTGTCACACCCTGCCCATGTGGAATAGTGCCCTGGATCACAGCACCCCTGAGTGTGACCATGGCTTTGAATTCTCCCCCCATGCCTGCACCCTTGATTCTCATTGTCCCAACTCCCCACACAACTAAAGGGTCATCCTCCTCTCTGTCCCCTCCTCTCCACCACGGCCATTCCCTCCACCCTTCCCGACCCCCAGCTCCCCCAGGACATGGCCATTCTCCCCATCCTTCCCAACCTCCAATTCATGGCCATTCCCCCCATCCCTCCAGACCCCCAGGACTTGGCCTTTCCCCCCAGTCCCCTCCCAGGACATGGCTCATGGCTGTTCTCCCCACCCTTCCCGACCCCCAGCCCACGGCCATCCCCCCGCTCCCGCCCGCCCCGCTCCCTGCCCAGGCTCGCCCCGGCCCCGCCGCCACCTGACGCGGTTCCCCGTCCGTCCCGCCGGGCCGGCCCGAGGCGGGGCGGGGGGCGGGCAGGGCGTCCCCGGGGCCGGAGGGAGGGCCGGGAGCCGCGCCGATCCCGTCCCGTCCGTGCGGCCCCGTCCCGGCTTTGTGGCGCTCGGGGGCGGGGAAGCGCCGGGAAGCGCAGGGGAGCGGAGGGAAGCGGGGAAGGCTCCGCTCCTCCTCCGCGGCCCCGGCCCCGCTCATGGCGACGCTGGGCACATCCGGGCCTCTCCTCATCCTCCTCCTCCTCCTCCTCCGGCGGCCGCCGCTGCCCTGAGCGCCCGGCCCGGCTCCATTCGCGCCTCCCCCGAGCCCTTGGCGGAGCAGCGGCGGGGGAGCCCCGGCCGGGGCCATGTCCAACCCGGGGGCCCGGCGGAACGGGCCCGTCAAGCTGCGGCTGACAGGTGAGGCCGGCCCGGGGCCGGGGCCGGGGCTGGGGCGGCAGCGGCGGCTCCGGGTGGCGTTGAGGTTGAACCTGGGGCCGGAGCGGCCCCCGGGCCTCGGGGGGAAGGGGAGGGAAGGGCAGGGCGAGGCTCCCTCGCTCGGCCCGGGCTCGGCGTGTCCGTGCTCCGCCGCCCGGCCGGGCCCGGCCCCGCCGCCGCCTGGGCGAACTTGGGGCACCGCAGCCCGACTCGGGGGTCATTCTGCCCCCTGTGCGCGGCGTGGACCGGGGAGAAACTGTCACGCTCTTTGTTTTGGGCTCTTTGTTTGTTGTTGTTGTTGTGCTGTTGGGGGATTTTTAACCGATTTGCCGGGCGGAGCTCGCCGGGCGCTGAGGAGGCTCCCAGGGCAGCGGGCACGGCCCCGGCCCCGCCGGAGCTCGGGGAGTTTGGACAACGCACATGGAGGGGGTTTGGGGTGTCCTGGGCAGGGCCAGGACTTGGGGTGGGTGATCCTGGTGGGTCCCTTCCAGCTCAGCGTGTCCCCTGGTCCTGGGGTGGTTCGCGGTGCCTCTTCCACAGGACCACTTGACCCCTGGGATTTCAAAATAACATAAAAAGGTTCACCTGCGTGCTGGGGAGGAAAACAGCCTGCTTTTAAATGCTTAAAACTATGTCCTTTCCAGCATAAGAACCCGGGGAAATGGGTTTAGAGGAGAAAAAAAGCCAAAAACCTGGAAGTCTTGCTAGAGCTTTCTGTATTAAAAATACAGGACACTTTTGAACTAGCTCTTTTCTTTAAAGTATTAAAGTTCTTCAGCAGATAAGGGGTATTTTGTGTTCTGAAGCATCAGTACATGAAGGTAAGGAATTAGGAAAGAATAGATAACACAGTAAATACTCACCTCTACGTATAGGGCATTTAACCAGCTTGCAAAGCAAATGTTATTAAAAATACTAGAAGAGTTGATACATTTACTTTAGGTGCATGAGAAATATCTCCAGTTTAATGCCTAATAAAGAGAGGTGTTTTCATACGGATTTTTCCAAGTGTGTTGTTTTTACAGGGAAAGTAAAATGTGTCTGCTTATGCTTTGCTTTGGAAATACTTGGACTAGATCTGTAATCCAGTTTTCAGAGAGATTTGTGAGTGTCTATATATTACAGTGGGAAATAAAACTCTTCAAATGAGCTGCTGCATGAACAGTGGTGCCTTGTTTTTACAGAGTGTTTTGTAGCCTTCTCCTCAGGTTATTGCTGTATTGATGCAGTGCTTTAATACTTTTCTTCCCTGGGCAGTGAGTGCTCAGACTTGCTTATCTTTGGAACATTAAAAAAGGGTCTGTAGCCGTATTTATTTAAGAGCATGGAGAACGCTGTCCGGGGAGTTGTCTTTCTCACCTCTGTGTTTTGGGTTCAAATTTGTTTCATATTTTATTTTTATTGAGGATTAAGCATGTAATGAAATGGTGCCTGTGACAGTATCAGGGTGCTGTGGGGGGTGTGATTGTACCAGAACTCATTTTTACACGCTGAGTTTCACTCTGTGGTCGGTCCCCAGACCAGGCAGGTACAATCCTAAGGAGCATTTTTGAGTTTTTTGTGTCATCCTGAGTTCAGGGTGAAGGTAAAATGGTCTTTTTAGGGGCTGTTCCAGTGTCAGCAGCTCTTGCAGTCGCTGAGGACCAGTTCTGTTATTGAAATTTTATAGGAAACATTGGCCTGTTTCTGGAGCTGAACAGCTTGAGGTGTTTTCTGCTGTAGGTAATTGTGAGTGGTTTCACATAAGGTCATTTGTTGTAAGGAAGCTTTACATGTTTAAGGAAAACACTGAATCTTATTAATTCAGCTGGCATGTTGTCACTTCTTGCCTAGGAATAGTTTTTAAGTGTTCTGTGTGGTTTTGATTACCCTTTTTGATTGGAAAAGCAGTTTGAGGGCTGTTGAATTCTGAAACTGTTTGGAATTAGAAGAATCTGTATATCCAGTGTTTTTAAAAGTTTATTCTCAAACTGACAAATGCTATTTAATCTTAATTTTCTTTGGCTCTGTGAAACCAGCAGTCTTCTGTTTTGGCTTGAATGTTTGTAAGGATTAATTCTGCAATCATTGTTTTAATGCTTATCTTTTCTGTTCATTATCTCTAAATTAGATGGTATAGATTAAAAAATGGATTTCAAGAACTGGATTCAATTAGCACTTTTTCAGGACATAAACATTAAAGGTTTAGATGGAAAACATTGTTTTGACTGACTGGATAAATGACAGGGTAATGTTTGATGTGAGTCCAAGAACTGATCTGGAGCTGGTGCCCAACTTCTCAGTCCATCTTGAGGAGCCAAATAAAATATTTAACCTAGGCCTCATTTTGCAAAAAAAGGTTGATTCTTTGTTGGGACCTTCAGAAAGTTCTGAGAAATGTTTGGCATACCTTTACACTAAGTGTTTAACAGTTTATTTAGGTCTGGGTTCCATAACAGACACAAACCACAGCGGTGGCACATTTGGAGTAGGTTTTTATTTAGTTTGCGGTGCATCTGTGTTAGACATTCCTTATAAAAGGTTCTTCTTCTGCTCTGAGGGTCAGTTGTCTGCTGCAAATGTCACCTGGCTCTTTGGTGATACATGTCAATACAGTTGCATTATCTTGAGCCAGAAAAATCGCTGGATAATCATTAAAATCCCAATATTACGGTTTCTGATGATCCTTCTGGCAGGAGGTGTCAATCCTTGTTTCTGATTGAAATGTAGGCAATGTGATTTAAATTACCTGAGGCCTAGAATTGCACCAGTCTTCTGCAGACTTTGCCTTAGCAGCTTGTAATAACAATATCCAGGGAAGCTTTGGTGTAAGGAAAATTCATCAACTCACATATTTACCCCCATTTGCTCTAGTCCTGAGTACATCTGAATCCTCCTGCCAGTGCAGTCACCTCCTTCCGTTCTTACTTGGGATTTTTCTCAGTGTTGTGTTGAATTTGTGGATTTGTCAATACCCTGCCAGACAGACCATGCCATTATTTCTTCCATGTTTTCTCTCAGAATGTTGAATTGTGTTGATCTCATATTCTTCAAAAAATTAAGAAGTGAGTATTGCTTTCAGAGAATAGTTTTATGTCCGAATTTGTGAATTATCTGATGTTAAAATAGCTACATTTCACTACTTTCACTTAGGAGATCAGTGGCAGGTGTCTGAATGAAGCCCATGAGGTTCTTTTATCGAGGAGATGCTTTTTAAAATCAGTTTGAAGCCTGCAAAAGTGTTGAGTGCTCCAACAGACAGAGCTGGGTAAAGGTTAGTGCAGTTTATTTAGTTCCTGTGTTCCAGACAGTGTTTGTGTGAGAACAGTTAACAAGGAAAGATACTTCCACAGCCACACTGGGCTGGAAAAAGTGGTAACAAATATCCCAGGGATAAAGCTGGAACGAGCTGGAAGAGTTTTGCTGGTGCAGAATGAGAGGTAGGACCGAAGTGGTGCTACCTTTGTTTTTCCTCCTCCTTTCTGCAGGGTTTGCTGGTCAGGGAAATGAAAGCACTGGGTGTTGTGGTGTAGAAGATGGATCAGCATCTCTTCTGCTGCCTCTCTTGCTGCTTTACTGTCCCTTCAGCCCTCACACTGCAAAGGTGGGACCTTCCAGTCGAGCTACAGTGTTGAAAGAAGAAAGTGCTGCTGTTCTCTCAGTCCACAGAAGCTCTTGTTGTGATGCAAATAGTACTTCTTGAGAAACACACCTGTTATTTGGAAAAAGCCAGAATATTCTTGAGTTTTGCAAGACTGTGGAATCCTCAAACCTGGGGTTTTTTGCAGTGGATGAATCTAACTGCTAAATGAATACAATTAAGACAGCAGTTAACCTGAGTCCTAAATTGTCAGCAGTGGTGTTGGAAGCAGGACTGAAGTTCATGGATAGCAGAGCCTCATTGTGGGAACAGCATTCTGACTGATTGATTGATAAAGTAGATCCCTGTGTTTTTAAGGACCAAGGCAGTGTTTTTTGTAGTTGACTGAAATCTTAGTGCCATTTTAGGTCAGCTTCAAATCTGAGTGCTGTTTCTTCTTCCTCTCTGTAGTCCCTGGCTGCACTTTCTGGGCCCTCCCTTGTGTTGACTCCAGCAACTCTGGGATGAGCTGAAAGCTAATCCTACCAGGAATAAAAATGGTTTCTTGTCCTGGAGAAGAGGGATGCAGAAAAGAAGCTGAAAAGAGGGCAGGGCTGCCTCTTTGACCAGCAGCCTGTACTTAGATAGGCTTTGGTCAACAATAAAACAATGGGGTTCCTTCATGGAAGGGATATTTGACTTAAGTACTGCTTTTCAGTCAGCCGTGTGTCATTAAGAAGTCCCAATCAATAAATTACATAGTAGGTGGATTAAACTGGTGCAGTCATAACAGAGTCAATAGACGTGTCTGATCAGAGGTGCAGGCCTTGATTGATGGCTGCTTGGCCCTCAATATTTTCATCAGAGTCTGCAGTGTGTGTGTAAATATATGCTTTTTATGTACACAGTGTATGGTTATAGATATTTATATACATATAAATCAGTTGTGGAGCATACAGATGCCAGAGAATTGTAATAAACAGCTGAGCAGCTGCATGGAGCACTTTCAGCTGTTTGTTTCTATGAAATCAGCTTATATGACAAAGTTTTATTCATCTGGGTGTGAAATCAGGTATGTGTGTTCAAGGGTACATTATGGGGTATCATGGCAAGGGAAGCGAAGATCAGAAAGGATTTGGGAGAGGGAATCATAGTAGGAAAAGAGTTCTGGGGGGGCTTCAATGAAAAGATTCAAATTCAATGTAAAAAATATCCACTTTTAGCTGTACAATCAGGAGAGCATCACACAGTGCAGGTTTTACATGTGCAGGCAGCATATGGGGCATATGTAGGAGACATATGGGAAATCTACAGGCAGTCCTAATGGTAATGGTTAAAAAAATAAAGCTCTTGGGGGGGGAAAAAAAGAAGAGAAATCCCAGGGGAGGAAAAATAGCGAGTGGTGTTTGGAATTGTGCTTCTC